GAGAGAGAGAGAGAGAGAGAGAGAGAGAGAGAGAGAGAGAGAGAGAGAGAGAGAGAGAGAGAGAGAGAGAGAGATGGTTGTTTTATTGATTTGCTTGTGCAGTCAGAGCCTCAGAGGTCTATTATCTTCTTTGACTTGTGTGCTTTCAGTGTGCAACATGTTTGTCATCGATCATGGTTTTATGGCCGGGTTCATGTTTCTTTTGGAACTTGGAAGGTTTTTATGTTTGCTTTTTCAGTGAAGGTCGTGTCAAGAATAATGAGGGCACAGTCTAATGCCATCACTTAACTATGAAAGGTGCACTTGTCATCATCTATCTGACAGGTATGTCGGAGGGCAAGAAGGCTGGAAAGGGGAAGAAGAGAAAGAACAGGAGGAAGAAAGAGCAGGTGGATGAGCAAAGCCTCACTCTGCTTGAGGATGATAAAGAGAAAGTAAGATTTGCTCTCCGCTTGTGTGTGCTGGCACCTGATAGGTCTGAGCTTGTGTCGTGGCACCTGATTTGTTTCGAAGCTGCTTCTTCATAGCTTCTGGATGTCATGAACTTGTGGTTCGTGTTCTTACCAAGCTTTTCTGTGCTTATTTTGTCCTTCACTATCCTGTAACCCATGCCTGCTGGCTAACGCCGATCTGCCCCTGTGCTTTTCTGCACGAGCCGTTAACCGGCTGCGGAGATTCCTTATGGCGCCCTGCACTTAGATTTTTTCGGGGGGGGGGGATTACAGGTCGCTGTTCTTTATATAATATTTCGAGGCACAGGTCATGTGCCATCTACCGCCCTTTTGTCGCTGGGGATCCTCTAACATTTTGGGGCCCAACTGCCGCTTTTTCTTATCTGAAGATCTTGGGCCGCCAATGTGTGCATCATTGTTGTGATGATCACTGCCATCACAGCCCCTTTATGTCATCGTCATCGACATCTCACCGCCATGTACTTGTCTGCCGCAAAGAACAGAGATGGGGTAAGTAAGCATTGTCATTATCTTCTTCTTCTTTTTCTTCTTATCACTCTACGTGAGGGGATCGGAAGGGGATGGCCAGCTAAGCCAGCTGCCAAGAGTTCACACACACACACACACACACACACACACACACACACACACACACACACACACACACACACACACACACAGAAGACAGACGGACAGACAGACAGACAGAGAGCCCTTGTGCCCCTCTACCCATCACCAACTTCTTGACCTACGGCTTCATGTCGCCCATCCCCATTGCCAACTTCTTCCCCGTGAGTTGCCACCTCCCCTCCCCCAATCACCACCTTAATAAAGGTGACTGCACGGACCATGCCATGACTTCGGCTTAACCCGATCACCACTTGCCCTCCCCGGATCGGCACCTTTCACTGCATGCTGATTTCCCCTCTATTTCAGCCGTACTCTATTGCCACCTTTCCCGCACCCCATTGCCTACTCGCCTCTGCCCATTGTGGCTTTTAAGCGACTCCATCCAAGCCTTCCCTCGTGGCCATTGCCACCTTGCCTCTCATCCCGACCTTCCTTCCCTTCGTTGCCAGCTTTCCCTGCCACCATCTCCACCACAAATCCCCTCCTCCCCGACTTTGCCTCGCACACCTTGACTTCCCCTGCCCTTTACATTTCCACCGTGCCCCATTATGACCTGCCCTTCCCTGCTCGTAGCCACCTTCTTCCTCCCCCCTATGCCTCCCCAGCCTGTCAAGGGTGAACAGCAGGTGAAGCACACCCAGTCAAAGCTCCACGATTTCCCCCGTTTACCCTGCCCGAGCCCGAAATCATCACTGCAAGATTTCTGATCTGAGGTCAGGTTCTTTCTCCTCGTGGGCAGCACATGAATGGCCCATGATCAGAAAGAAGCAAGGTGCGGCCTCTTTTGGGTCTGTTCGGGTCACCTGGGTGCTCAGTACCATGTTCAATGGCAGACCCCCCCAGCGCGAACCCCCCCTCTGTGTGTGTGTGTGTGTGTGTGTGTGTGTGTGTGTGTGTGTGTTTGTGTGTGTGAGGGTGGCTGTGTGTGTGTGTGTGTGTGTGTGTGTGTGTGTGTGTGTGTGTGAGGGTGTCTGTGTATGTGTGTCTGTGCGTGTGTTTGGTTTTCATGACTTTTTTTTTTTAATACTTATAAAGTTAAAAAAAAAGTTTAAAAACAATAGAAAACATGGGGTTGTAGCTCTGCAAAAGATCTACAACCCTTTATTTTTTATTTGTTTTTTTTCCTTATTTTTCGCCCTCAAAACAAATCTCTGTGAAAAAAGTACTGCCCTCACCCATTTATTTTCTTTTTTTTGTTTTTTCCTTTCTTTGTATGGTTTTCGATTTTTTTAAAATATAATGAATGTAAAAAAAACAAAATATATAGCGGGTTGTAGCTATTGAAAAGGTCTACAATTCTATATTTTTTTAGGCTGGGCCATCGCCTGGCCAGGCATGCCCGGGCCCGGGCCAGCTGGGCCAGGGGAGATAGCCCGGCAAAACCAGGCGGGTCAAAAAAGAGGGAAGGATCTCTAAAAAAAAGAAACTGACTTCAGGCCAGGACTGCACTCGGTGTGAGCAGTCAGAATCCGGCCTTACCTTCCATTTCGGTGGTGGGTCACCTAGGGGTGTTTGGGGGGTATAAAGTTACTCTAAACAGTGACTAGAGGGGTTTAAAAGGGTATATCTTGCCTCATTTCTCCTCATTTATTTTCATCTTAAAATGAATAAGGAATTTCGGGGGGGACCCTCAGCCAATAGTTGCTTGTACTGCAATTTTATACAACATAGTTTTTTTCCAGAGTTTTTCGAATTTTTTATTTTTTTTTAAATATTGCGCTGGTGCTGCCCGGGACCCTGTCCGGCCACTGCCCGGCCCAGGCCGCCCGAGAGGGTACCCAGGCAACCTTTCCCCAGCCGGACCGCCTTTTGTTTTTCGTTTTGCTCATTTTTTTGCCTGCGAAAAAAATCTTCCCGGGTGGCAGTGCACCACAATAAACGTGGGGGGCTCAACGCAGTTTCCCTGCGTTTTCAGCGCGAGTTGAAAGGTTCAACGTGGAACCCGCGTTGAAAGAACTTCCAGCTACTCAGCCTGGGTGGGTCCCACCATCCCGCATTCACTGATATGGGCGTTTCCATCTCAGCACAGCGTCAATTTGTTATGCTCTGAAAAAGAGAGGAAAAATAAGCCGGCAATTTCACCAGCATCACTTGTTGGAGGAATGGCTCACAAGAGTCACAACCACCGAAAGTGCATCACACAATTATCTTATCTTAGCTGTGACCAAGGTCATCCTACCAGAATGACTTCACCGCAGAAGAGCTTTGGTAAACAGGCAGTTGCAAACCATTCATGCATTTGTTGCTGTTTCGCTTTTTTCCTGAGCGAGGATGCCGCCCGGCCGGTTGGGGCTGGGGGGGCCGCGGGGGTAAACCGGGCGGGACAAAAAACCACCCAGATTTTTTTTATTTTTTTTTTTGAAACCGGGGTCGTTCTGCGCTCGGCGAGAGGACCCTGAATCTGCAATAAAATTTTGGTTTTG